TGGCTCAGGAGGGTAGTGAGAGAGTGATCCATCCACAACATCTTCAGTTTGAATATGGTTATTTAGCAAAGAAATGTCGAATTGTTCTTGATTATTAATGTTGTTGTTGAAGTATTGAGGAACTGAAAAGGTTGGAGAAGGGGTGAAATCTATGGAGGCAGAAATGTCATTATCGATATCTTCGGGAGAGTCGAATATTATGGAGAAGTTGCTGTTGTTTTTAGTGGTGGTAGGGGTAATGGTGGACGTGACAGTGGGCTCGGAGGGGCTAGTGGTGGAGGGGGCTGAGGGTGTGGCCATCATGGCGGCTGCCTCCGGCTTCATGTCATGTTGTGGGGTGAGGTCCATGGTATTGGTGAAATTACTCATATTTGTAGTAACAGAAAGATTTGCTGGATATGAAGAGTGCTCTTCATAGCAGCAATTTGAGCTTGAAGCAACTTCAGAATTTTGTAGAGTTTCTGGAAATAACTCAGACTCGCAAAATTCCAAAATTTGAGCACCAAGTGGGCTTTCAATTTCTTCCTGAAAAAGAAATTTAAATTTTGATGACAAAAATACTTAATAGAGCATATGAAATAAAATGTCACAATGCAAAAGTATTCAAGTACGTAGAACCTCGTCATTAGGTATGATAATATTTTCTCGTGTCCTATTCATTATATATACACATTTACACTCAACGTATATTTTCATTGAGAATGCGTGTGCATACACGAGAAAATGTAACATTTAGATGATTTTGCTTTCCATGCACTTAAAACTTTGTATCTAAATTTGATCAAAACAACATAATTTTAATGAAAGGGATCTTGTTGATGATATCTTGTAAAACACAAAAAAGGTATGTATGTTTGTGCTCCATGTGACATGCCCCAAATAATAAGATTCCAGATAGAACCAAAATATGAAAGGCAGATTAAACAAAAAGGGAAAAATAAAAAATTAATAAATAAAAAAAAATTCGCAGTATTGAACTTAAAATCCATTTTGGGACGAACAATGGAAACTTTCAAAGCACTATAACAACTTATTATCATACATTTGTAGTCCACCCATGTGGTACTTCATTGTACGATATATAAAAGATCCATCTGTATAGATATCATCATCTGTTTACATTAAGATTAAATCCAATGTTAATAAAGGAATCAAGGTTAAGGGAAAAAATTACTTAAGAAATAAGCAGGAAAAGCTAAATATTGCATTAGGATTTGAAAAGAAATTGAGGAGGTGGTAGAAAAATATCTTCCAAGTGATAATAGGCATTATTTTTTGTTTATTGGGCATTAATCCATTTACTAATTAATAATTTACATAATCAAAATATGAGTTAAATACAGATGAAAGCGCAAAAAAACCATTCAGAACATGAAGGTTTTCTGGGAAAAATAAATATATATATTAGTTGGAATTAGAAATAGATAAAAGGGGCACCATTTAGAATATGAAGGGTTTCTTGAAAAACACACACACACGCACATATAGGTACATATATACGTATATACATACTTATGTATGGGTGTCAACATGCCTAGAAAAGATAGAAAATAGAAGAAAGATCAACATAAATAATTGCATGCACATTCAAGAAAACTTTAGAAAAATTACAATGGGAAGCTGTTCTTGTGGATGAACCAAGTTCTGCAGCATTGTTCTTTGATACCTTAAAGAGCTGCTTCCTTAAAAAGCTAAGAAACAAAATATGTCAACATTAATTCCCTCAAAACTTGGCTTTCTAAGCTTGGAATTGGAATGAATAATTGAAAAAGAGAACTAGAGAGAGAAAGACTCACTGCTTATTCAAGAATGGAGGAAGAGAGAGAAATCAAGAGAGGAAAAAACTCAGTGCATATAGCATGGAATGGACATTAAATTTTGGTTTTCTTTCGCAGGGAAACTAACGTTTGTTATATAGTGTTGAGGGATGTCCGTAGATTGGACTTAATCCTAGGTTGTCGGTGGACCACACATTTGACACCCCGATATCTGCCTGGCTGGAAATTTTGACAAGCCAATTTTGTGGTGACATCTGGATTCTGTCTTTGAGATAGGTTTTTGCTGAGATGGCAATAGGGGTTGAATTTCTCTAAAATGATTTCATTTTTTTTTTCATTTTTTTCCTCTGTCTTGATTAATTTCTATCGGAGGAGAGCAAGAAACAACCGAAAGGCGCGTCAATATAAAAGCAGAAAATATGTAAAGAATGCGTTGAGATGTATATGAAGCTCCTACGACCTATATATGGACATCAACCTTGGTAACGTGGTACAGAGATCTAGGGTTGGACATTATCCGATTCAATTTGATTATAAAGAGAACCGAACCAAATTCGAATTTTTGGGTACTTATTAATTGAAATCGTTGAATCCAAATTTAATTATAGAACCATTCGTGTTAGGTTTGATTCAGTTCTTGGGTGCCATACAATATTTAATTTTTTTAATATTTACAATAATGCTAGATTAATTCACATGTTCAATTTTAACCCTTA